GATGAACAGACAACCAGAACCTTCCGCTAGTTTTCAGCTCTGAACAAGACTAAAGTCCATAGATGAACAGACAACCAGAACCTTCCGCTAGTTTTCAGCTCTGAACAAGACTAAAGTCCATAGATGAACAGACAACCAGAACCTTCCGCTAGTTTTCAGCTCTGAACAAGACTAAAGTCCATAGATGAACAGACAACCAGAACCTTCCGCTAGTTTTCAGCTCTGAACAAGACTAAAGTCCATAGATGAACAGACAACCAGAACCTTCCGCTAGTTTTCAGCTCTGAACAAGACTAAAGTCCATAGATGAACAGACAACCAGAACCTTCCGCTAGTTTTCAGCTCTGAACAAGACTAAAGTCCATAGATGAACAGACAACCAGAACCTTCCGCTAGTTTTCAGCTCTGAACAAGACTAAAGTCCATAGATGAACAGACAACCAGAACCTTCCGCTAGTTTTCAGCTCTGAACAAGACTAAAGTCCATAGAGAACAGACAACCAGAACCTTCCGCTAGTTTTCAGCTCTGAACAAGACTAAACCAGAACCTTCCGCTAGTTTTCAGCTCTGAACAAGACTAAAGTCCATAGATGAACAGACAACCAGAACCTTCCGCTAGTTTTCAGCTCTTTCAGCTCTGAACAAGACTAAAGTCCATAGATGAACAGACAACCAGAACCTTCCGCTAGTTTTCAGCTCTGAACAAGACTAAAGTCCATAGATGAACAGACAACCAGAACCTTCCGCTAGTTTTCAGCTCTGAACAAGACTAAAGTCCATAGATGAACAGACAACCAGAACCTTCCGCTAGTTTTCAGCTCTGAACAAGACTAAAGTCCATAGATGAACAGACAACCATAGATGAACAGACAACCAGAACCTTCCGCTAGTTTTCAGCTCTGAACAAGACTAAAGTCCATAGATGAACAGACAACCAGAACCTTCCGCTAGTTTTCAGCTCTGAACAAGACTAAAGTCCATAGATAAACAGACAACCAGAACCTTCCGCTAGTTTTCAGCTCTGAACAAGACTAAAGTCCATAGATGAACAGACAACCAGAACCTTCCGCTAGTTTTCAGCTCTGAACAAGACTAAAGTCCATAGATGAACAGACAACCAGAACCTTCCGCTAGTTTTCAGCTCTGAACAAGACTAAAGTCCATAGATGAACAGACAACCAGAACCTTCCGCTAGTTTTCAGCTCTGAACAAGACTAAAGTCCATAGATGAACAGACAACCAGAACTTTCCGCTAGTTTTCAGCTCTGAACAAGACTAAAGTCCATAGATGAACAGACAACCAGAACCTTCCGCTAGTTTTCAGCTCTGAACAAGACTAAAGTCCATAGATGAACAGACAACCAGAACCTTCCGCTAGTTTTCAGCTCTGAACAAGACTAAAGTCCATAGATGAACAGACAACCAGAACCTTCCGCTAGTTTTCAGCTCTGAACAAGACTAAAGTCCATAGATGAACAGACAACCAGAACCTTCCGCTAGTTTTCAGCTCTGAACAAGACTAAAGTCCATAGATGAACAGACAACCAGAACCTTCCGCTAGTTTTCAGCTCTGAACAAGACTAAAGTCCATAGATGAACAGACAACCAGAACCTTCCGCTAGTTTTCAGCTCTGAACAAGACTAAAGTCCATAGATGAACAGACAACCAGAACCTTCCGCTAGTTTTCAGCTCTGAACAAGACTAAAGTCCATAGATGAACAGACAACCAGAACCTTCCGCTAGTTTTCAGCTCTGAACAAGACTAAAGTCCATAGATGAACAGACAACCAGAACCTTCCGCTAGTTTTCAGCTCTGAACAAGACTAAAGTCCATAGATGAACAGACAACCAGAACCTTCCGCTAGTTTTCAGCTCTGAACAAGACTAAAGTCCATAGATGAACAGACAACCAGAACCTTCCGCTAGTTTTCAGCTCTGAACAAGACTAAAGTCCATAGATGAACAGACAACCAGAAACTTCCGCTAGTTTTCAGCTCTGAACAAGACTAAAGTCCATAGATGAACAGACAACCAGAAACTAGTTTTTCCGCTAGTTTTCAGCTCTGAACAAGACTAAAGTCCATAGATGAACAGACAACCAGAACCTTCCGCTAGTTTTCAGCTCTGAACAAGACTAAAGTCCATAGATGAACAGACAACCAGAACCTTCCGCTAGTTTTCAGCTCTGAACAAGACTAAAGTCCATAGATGAACAGACAACCAGAACCTTCCGCTAGTTTTCAGCTCTGAACAAGACTAAAGTCCATAGATGAACAGACAACCAGAACCTTCCGCTAGTTTTCAGCTCTGAACAAGACTAAAGTCCATAGATGAACAGACAACCAGAACCTTCCGCTAGTTTTCAGCTCTGAACAAGACTAAAGTCCATAGATGAACAGACAACCAGAACCTTCCGCTAGTTTTCAGCTCTGAACAAGACTAAAAGTCCATAGATGAACAGACAACCAGAACCTTTCCGCTAGTTTTCAGCTCTGAACAAGACTAAAGTCCATAGATGAACAGACAACCAGAACCTTCCGCTAGTTTTCAGCTCTGAACAAGACTAAGAGTTTGTGAATAGATGAACAAGACTAAAACCAAGATGAAATTACAAATATTGTGCTTCCGCTGTTTTTCAGCTTGAACAAGACTAAAGTCCATACAAAACAGACAACCAGATTTTTCCGCTAGTTTTCAGCTCTGAACAAGACTAAAGTCCATAGATGAACAGACAACCAGAACCTTTCCGCTAGTTTTCAGCTCTGAACAAGACTAAAGTCCATAGATGAACAGACAATTTTCATTGCCCGCTAGCTTTCATTACCACGATATGTTACTCTGGACACATGAGCTTTTATTACCCTCTTCTTTTTCTTCTTCCTCTGTGTTTGACGTCAGCCATGCTAAACATTTCAGTTGTGTCACAAAAAAGAATTGTGCATCGAAGGTCACCACCGGTAGCTCCCTTGGGCCAAATCCACAATCTTACCTGGGGGTAGTCAGGGCAGTCCTGCAGTATGTGCTCAGGAGTGAGTCTGTCTGCCCCACAATCACAGGCAGCAGATTTGTTTATGCCTATCCTGTGCAGGTGTGCTCTAAGACCACAGTGTTCCATCTGAAGCCTTAAAATTGATGTTTACTCTTTCCTGTTGAGTTTGTACATACTGTCACTCTCTGGTCTGTAGTCTCCATTCTGTCTTCTTCACCCCCCCCCCCCCCACCCCTTGAAAGACTGCTTTAGGGCTGTTTTGATTTACTTTAGCTCTGTGATGGATGAGGTTGTGGAAGATTACTCCTGGCTTTTGCCAGCTCATCTGCTCTCTCATTTCCTTGAATACTTCAGTGAGCTGGTATCCACTGCAGAACCATTTCTGCTTCCTCAGAAAGTAAGCCAATGTTGGTCCTTAGATCTGCCATTAGTTTGTCTTGTTTTTTGCTTGACAGTGCTTGGAGAACAGACAGTGAGTCACTAAGTATAACAATTTTGTGCCCTCTGTATTTTTGAGTGATGAGATGTTGGACTGCAGAAAGGAGGGCAGTTGCCTCAGCTCTATAGTTAGTGCTAGATTCCTTGATGTATGTTCCACAGATCCCCTTTCTGACTGCATCTGTAGCAGAGCCATCAGTGAAAACCTGAGTCCAAGTGGTGTTGGGATACTTCTCATCAAGCACAGCAAGAGCCAGGGTTCTCTGTTGTATCTCTGTCTGTGCATTTTTTGAAGTGATTCCTGTTACTTTTAGGACTACATTTGCCTTCTCTGGCTTGCTTGTTTATGGTTCTGGCCTAAGCTTTTCGCACAGTGCAATATCTCTTTCAAGCAGATCTTGGCAATGTCTGTGCAGTTCTCTAGCAGCTGGTTGGAGCTCTGAAACTTAAGCCTGTTTTTTATTCTGTCTTGAAATTTAAAATGCAGTGGGGACTTTGAAGTCTTTTTAATTTCTAATACTGTAGAAGAGTTTTGTATTGTCTTCTAAGTTCAAGTGGTTCAGTGTCTGCTGTCCTCTCTATCTCTCTGATGGGGGTGGATTTCATGGCTCTGAGAAAATTTTCCAACCCTTTTCTGAATCTTGTCCAGTTTTCCCATTGTTGTCTTGGCTGCTGTAGCCCATATACATAAGCCACATTCTATGACTGGCCTGACTGCTTCAGTATATACTTGTTTTAGGTTTCTGGAGTTGGCACTCCATGTTGTACCCATTAGTTTTTTCATCACTGCAAGTTTCTTGAATGCCTTCCCCTGTACTGCTTCTACATGTGACTTCTATGTTAGTCGCTAGTCAAGTGTAACACCGAGAAAGGTAGGAGTGTCAGTCTGTGGTATGAGCGTTTTTGGGGGAGAGAGATAAAAGTGATGCTGTACTTTTTGTTTGAATTATTTAGCTTTAGACCCCACTTTTCAATCCAGTCTTCTACATTTCCCAGTTTTCTGTAACACATATAAGACTGTGCTAGTGTAATCGGAGGCTGACCAAACTGCAAAGTTGTCAGCATGTAGGGTATTAGAAACACACTGGTGGCAGGCTGTTGTGATATCATTTATGTAAGCCAGGAACAGGATTGGTGCTATCACACTGCCCTGGGGAACTCCTTCTCTTAGTTTTGTCACTTTGCCGATGTGTCTTTCAGTTCTAAATCTGGCTTTGCATTGGAATGGGAAGTTTTTGATTCAATTGTTCATGTTGTGCACAACTCCTGCCTGTCGCAGTTTTAGTTGTAGGCCTTCTTTTCAAACTGTATCAAAAGCAGGAGAGAGGTCAAAAAAGACAGCAAGAATTTTCTCTTTTCCTGGAAGGCATTCTAAATGTCCTGTACCAGATATGTCAACTAGTCTTCTGTGTTTCTATGCTGTCTGTATCTGTCAGTGTGGTAGTGATAACCTCATTTGTCTCCAAGTACTACATTAGTATTTTATTAACTAATTTATCCATCAGTTTTCCTACACGCATTCATTCCCAGGGTAGATAATCCATGACACATTAGCTTGACTGGCTAGATAAGCCATCATTGACACATCAGTTTTCATTGCCAATGTAGGTCATTCTTGACATGGCAGCTTTTTTAGTTAGATAAGCAATCTTTTTTATTTCAGCTTTCATTCTAAAGATAAAACATCACTGAAATCATTGACAATAAAGTGTTAATTACTAGTTTGAATTATCATAAATGACATAAATACAAGAACAGCTGTCATTGCTAATAATTTAATCCACCCTAATATGGGACACAATTTTTTTAAATTTTAAAACCCTACTCTAGCTGTCATCAGGGACCCTAAATATAACCTAAAGGTTGAACAGGGTTTCTGGGACTGACCCCAAGGAAATTCTTATCCGAGTTGTTGAGTTGAGTCAAGAAATGACATCACAGCATTTGGGGCATTCCCATGTGTGCTCCGTCCTAAACTTTAACAGCCAGCATAGAGTTCCAATACTGATGATACCGGTCACAATCCGGTTAAAAGTCCGTCTTTCCTCTGAGTTTCAGCCAAATGGTGGCATATTGTGTCACGGGGTGTTAATAACTCATTGTGCAGTCCTGGAGGGGTTGAATGTCACTAACTCGCTCATTGTTAAAATATCCTCACTGGCCCATTTATCAGTATTTTTAATCAGTCAATCAGTCAGATGTCATCTCCCTAGTGAAGGTCAGTTGTAATAGATCTCCAACACACTCTGTCTCTTGTCCTGGTTGTACATTTTCTCAACTCCTGTTGTCCATCTCTTGATGGTGTAACCCCACTCATATTGTTGTCTGCCTCTTGCTGTCTTGTCCTCGACATTTCCCTCTAGTGTGGTATTTAAGAGAGTGTTCTGTCTTTTAATGTGGCCAAAATATTGCAGTTGTCTCTCTTTTTATTTTTTATTGTATTATTTGTGAGCTACTGCATTTATTACTTTACAGCTTTCGCAGGGATAAATCATCTCGTCATGAATACTAGCCATGCCACTTTCATTTACATTATTGGTGTCGTGAAAATGAT